GGGGGAGATTACCCGATCAACGTTGGCTAGTTTCTGAATTTTGTCTATGGACTCGAGGTCCTGTACAGTGACCCTTTGGTACGGTATGTGTTTGACAGTGTAGGCCCTTTGTGCAAGAGCTGCGGTGCCGTCTGTTTCGGTGGAGTAGAGAAAGATTGACATTTAAGTGGAAAAATTATGGCTCGGTGGCGTGAGGTTTTAATAACTTTGGGTTTCATCTGTGGCATCTATGTGTGTTTCTTGTCGCAGGGTGTATGTCAAGAGAGCATCTATCGTTTAAAGGACGAGAAGACGGGGGAGAGGTTCAAGTATCCATTGTTTCTGGTGGCGTTGGTATCGTCTATTTCAGGAGGTGTGGGATATATGGTAACTCGTGTGGAGGCGTCACGGCCGAATGGAGAGGCGAGTAGAGTGGTGCCTGCATTGCGTGACTTTATCTACCATCGGAAGGCGAACGACTTGTTGAAGCAGGGCTTTTATGTGTCGCTTTCATACATAGGTGCAATGATCTGCACAAACTTTGCTTTAACGCGTGTCAACTACCCAATGCAGGTGTTGGTAAAGAGCGCCAAGGCAGTGCCAGTGGTGGTTGGTGGCTACGTCTTCTTTGGCAAACGTTACCATTACAGCGATTATCTCACAGTAGTGTGTGTCACTTTGTCTCTTATCCTATTTCAATGGGGCAATCTCATGAACCCCAAGACCAATGCCGCTTCCACCTGGACTGGCTTTGTCGCACTACTCACCGCCCTGCTCTTCGACGGACTCACCGGACCTAGACAAGATAAGATGGTCGAAAACTACCAAATCAGCACTGGCGATCTCATGTTTATAATCAACGTTTGCTCACTCCCACTTGTCTGGTCCGCCGCATGGATCCTCGAAGGTGCAGCGCCATACGGTATGATGAGCCGTAACTCCCTAGAACTTGTACCCAGACTTGCTCTCTTCGTCGTATGCGGAGCAGCCGGCCAAGTATGCATCGTCAGAATTTTGAGACAAATGGGCAGCCTACACCTTACCCTCATCACCACCACCCGCAAGTTCCTCGCCATACTCATCTCCGTCGCACTCTATAAACATCCTCTGTCACCCCTACAGTGGTTTGCTGTCTTCCTCCTATTCACATCCGGCTTCTTCAAGTACCTTCTCAAAGAAAGGAAACCCTCCACCAGCGTTCGAGAGGTCGAAATACCCCTACGAAAAGCCTCCGCCTCCCAACCCACACCTCCAACCGTTGCCCCTCCAACCATATCCGAAGACCACATCAAGCATACCTAAAACCGCACAATCGCAGGCCCAACGCTGGCCGGTTGAACGCTGGCCGGTTGAACGCTAGCCGGTTGAACGCTAGCCGGTTGAACGCTAGCCGGTTGAACGCTGGCCAGACCTGTCAAGAAGACTTGTCAAGAAGACCTGTCAAGAAGACCTGTCAAAAAGGTCTGCTGGTCGTATCGTTAGCTGTAATTAGTGCCGCTCTCCTTCCTCGCGGAGCACAGCGGAATGTTAGTAGACGAATTTGGACTTTTTCAAACTCGACGTGGCGGGCGCATCTGTTTGTCTCACTGGGGCGAGTTGGTCACTCGGGCGAGTTGGTCACTCGGGCGAGTTGGAAATAGTGCTGCTAGACGCCTTGCCCAAGATCAACCCGCCCAGTCAGATTAACTATTCCGAGTCAGAGGAAGGGGGGTGACCACGTAACTAACATCGTCCTAACCAACCACCATTAACTGTAGAGAACATCTGGCGCCATATAAGCTGTAGGTTTGCCATCCGCTGTTGACAGTGAGTGGTCCATGTTACCAGATGGTGGGTTACTGTTGCAGTTGAACCGTGTAGATGGGAGTGTCCGGGAAGGTGGAGGAGAGACATGTTTCGGCCCAGGTCTGAGCCTTGCGGTGGGCGACGGGTAGAGTGGTGGTTCCGTCGCCGTTGACTAGAGGCGCAATGAACTTGACGAGTTGTTCGCGACGTTCTGAGGCTGCTTGGGGATTATATATGTATGCAGTCAAGACGGTGTCGAGAGTCTGCTGCGTGGGCGAGATGGCGACGGCATGGTTGCTGCAGCCATCTGGTTCCTGAACCGCCAATACTGCGCCTGGCGTGGGTATCCCAGAGGAGGAGGAGGAGGTCCCAGAGCCGGAGGAGGAGGTCCCAGAGCCGGAGGAGGAGGTCCCAGAGCCGGAGGAGGAGGTCCCAGAGCCGGAGGAGGAGGTCCCAGAGCCGGAGTGTATGTGGACGCCGATACTTTGCGGGTATTGAGCGGCCCAGAGCAGTGTGAAGTATGCGTTAAGGAAGCTTTTGATGAGCTGGGCGCGAATTTGATAAGTCTCTGGCGAGCCAATCAGGCACCGCCACAGAACGTCACCGTGGTGTGAGACGTCAGAGGAAAGCCCCTGAATCAAAGCCGGCCTCTGAGACTCGGGGGCTTGCTGCAACCCCAGACCCGAGCTCACCCCGAGGTCGGACGCCAGCTGGTTGAGCGCTTCTCTGTCAGTGCAAAACGTCAGTGCCGGTCCGTCGGCCTGTTGTTGCGTTGATAGTGTGCTGACCCACGCAGTGAGCACGTTTACAATGGTCTCATCCGATAACCCCGTGCCACCGACGACAGTCTCGAAGCTATTTAGCACCAATAACAGCTCCCCCAGGTCGCCGCCAAGACTAAAGGGTCGTGCGGAGGTCCAGCGTGAGTCAGCACAGTACATCTCCGAATATGGCAATATATTCTTTCCCTCGCCCATAGCCAGCGGCACTATCTTCATCACGCGTGGCTGGCCGTAGTACTCACTGACCTCGTCGTCCGTCAACGCGTTCTCAACCTCAACAGCCGCGGGCCGCTCCAAGACAATTTTCGATGACGTGACAGCACACGTTTTCGCATCCGAGTTCCAAGAGGCCAACGCGAATTTCGGATCAACATTTAGTGCCTCCTGACAGGAGCAGCTAATCGTATGCGGGACGTTATTGATGGCCACAGTTCCTTCGAAGTAGTTCTGGCCAGATGATACCATATCATTCCCCTCTGCCGAAACCAAGTGGCCCACTGCAAGTAACCATGAAGGAATCATTCCAATTTCTGCTCTAAAATTGTCGACTCTAGCGGCTTGGAACCAAACTCTCTCGGGAATGGGAGGAGGCCGAACCAGGGAGGAGGCCGAACCAGGGAGGAGGCCGAACCAGGGGGAGGCCGAACCAGGGGGAGGCCGAACCAGGGAGGAGGCCGAACCAGGGAGGAGGCCGAACCAGGGAGGAGGCCGAACCAGGGA